AAAAATAATATCGGAACTGAAATATTATTAATACTGATAAAAGTTGGGATATTACACCTACTGCAGTTAACAAACTACCCCCATGAGGACCCTTCACGTGACACCCATCTACCCCAATTATAGGCCTGCAACCCCCCTTGAAACCTTCTTTCAGAGCACCAAAACAGCAATAGAATTTGCTAAACCTAAGTTCACCATTTTCAAACTCAGTGTCTAAGATCACTGTGCTTCCAAGGTTTGTTTGCCTAACCTCTTCTGCATAATCCCATAGCTTAGTGTATTGTACAGTTGTATCACCCTCTATCACTGCAAGTGCTCTCTTCTTTGCCCTGTATGCCTGTTGTTTAGAGACATCTACCCCCAGTTTTTTTATCACCTCTATCCTCTACCCTTTTGTGCTTCTCTTTGGATCAACCTCAAAATTCCCAATGAACTTTTCACTAAGCCATTTACTTTTCACATTCCTCACATTAAACTCAGGAGGACAAGTATGGGTAGGTACATAGGTTGAAAGCTTGTAAGATGTTTCATCTGCTTTCTTCAGTGCATTCATTCTCCACTTGCATCCCTCAGCTTTACACTGCGCATAAATTCTTCTGTTGTCATTTCTTGTAAAGTGTAAGCTTCTTTTACTTCTAATAGCATGAGATTGTACTGCCTTTTTGAATTCTGCCTTAGTAGCAAACACCATCCCTAACTCAAATGTTGGTTTAAAAATCATGGCAGGGTTGAACACAAGATCATTAGACTCACATTCATCATCAGACACTCTTCTCTCATCAAAATGAAGCACTTCATGAACTACATCATCATCCTTTGAAACACTATCTGCAACATCAATATTACTAACATCTACACTTCCTTTTTGCACATGAATATTACTCTCAGACACATCAACATTACTACCATGAACCACATCATCATCAGTATCTGCAGTATCTACATTACTCACATCAACATATTTTGTAACACCCCGACTTTTTAATACTATCAGAGTACGCAATTTTTCGCAATTTTCTGAATAAATAAATAAATAAATAAAATACTTATTTTGCGAAAACTGATTCGGGATGCTACCGAGAAAAACTTGATTTTTCTGAAAACCGTTAAAATTTTTAAATTGATAATTAAAAACGGTTTAATGTCTTATCCGACTAACGTCGGAACAAAAACTGATAATAAGTACTAAAAGTTTTAGCGGAAATCAAGCGTGGCAAAAACATATATATACATATAATCACAAAAAGTCCTGAACAGCCCGCCCGCTCACTCCTCGTCTCCGACCCTGCGTCCTGAAAAACATGAAAAGTGTGGGGCGTGAGCACTAAACACTTGTGCTCAGCAGAAACTCATACTAATATAAACATCGTAAATAATAACAATATCATGAAATAAGCATATATAACTGAACTGAAACTGAAACTGATATCTGATACCGGTCTGATCTCGCGACATAAGTCACGTAACTGATAACTGGAATTTGTCGGCACAAACTAATACCGCAATCTCCCGGCACAAACTAATACCGGACCATGTGCACACTCTAGTGGTTAGATTAGGCCACTAGAACTCAGAATGGACCGGCGACCATTCCGAGCGGATACTGAATATACATACCTCGAACATGGTAGCGTAATTATAAACAATGTAGACTTAGTCTGAGTCCCCACCTGAACTGCTGAAACTGAAACTGAATGGCAGTGCTGATGCCTGATCAAACTGAAAATAATATAAACAATTACTATTGACTATGCTCAGACTGATAATTTAACTGATTGATTATGTTAAGATGCTCTACTGAATCTGACATGATATTCGGACTTATTCGGTATAACTGAAACCGGCTAAGTACGAAACTGAACTGACATAAATTTACTGATCTAAACCTAACCCGGAATTTAACTGAAAAATAACACTGAAACTGAAAACCGGGACTAAAACTGAAAATAACTGACTGAACCGGTCCAGCCAGTCTGAACTGGTCTGGACCGGACTGCCGGTCGACTGAACCGGGCAGTCGGGCTGGCTCGGCCGGCAACCTGCCAGGCGCTGCGCACGCGGGC